AGCTGGAAGCTGAGAACTGGCGACTTTGTAGTACAACTTTAGTACGCGGAGTATCTGGGGAGCTGGAAGATGAGAACTGGCGACTTTGTAGTACTACTTTAGTACGCGGCTGAGTCATCTCTATTCTGTACTTTGCAAAAATGCATGAACAACGTTTTTTCGTGCGAGACAGTTGACGGTGGTTGCTTCGCTTTCGCTCCATTGGTCGGTTCCAACTTGTTTTGTCCAAGAACATCGCCGCTCGGCGAATCAGCCTGCCACATGACATTTTCCTATGTTTATTCTTTTGGAAACTTCCGCCGCCGGCTTGCCCGGGAACTACTTGTATTAATGGTATTTACGGTGTTTTGTGGCCACTTTGAAGCGTACATGAAACCATCCCAATATACAGGGTTTTGTGGCAGGAAGGTGCAGAAGCCCGTGTAAGTACGCCGAAAAAGCACTTTCCGACAAAATCTTTCCAGGTTTTTGGCAATTTTTCGACCATTTTTGAAGCCTAGACACTTCAAAAACCATTGGCTTTTACAATGTTTTTGGCCGGACAGCCACAGAAAACACTGTAAATTGCATTGTTTGAGTTGCAGACTGGAGGAGCTGAAAACACTAGTATTTACAGTGTTTTGTAACTGTTGACAAAGACCCGCGCCAGGGTGGAGTTGAAAGGGGGGGGAGGGCCCCCCCCCTCGGCCCTTAAAAGTGAATGTTGGAGGCGATTTCTCAGTGAGACAGGTGTCCACTCTGGTTATAACATAATTCATGTTTGCCAAAGCAAAAGGAAAACTCAGGTAGCGTAACCGCTATACCTTTCGTGCCGTGTTTTTTAATCTGTGTGTGTTTTTACGAGTGTAGGGTTGGACCAATTGTTTTACTTCCATCTTTGTTGCAGCAGGGCACCCCTCTCACTTTTGGCTCAATTTCCAAATCGTGATCTTACCAAACTGGTCCTTGGCATTTGAGCCAGGAGTTTGGGGGCAGGGGGGTTGTACTTCATCATCTCCCACTTGGAAGGACTCATGGACTTCGAGCCATGCTGTCCCGGAACCGGAACGAAACACGACACTCGACACATCTTCCATCTGGTTCCCTCAGGAGGCGGGGCAAAAATCACATCCACCCCCCAACTTCCCGCCTCAACAGCCACCACGAAGATCTGCCCTCCCCCCTACCAATAGAGGTTGCAGAACCCTATAGACTCTGTACCACAGGTCTTCCGGGTCCTAGTTCTGACGGGTACCACCTCTGAGGCCGGTCTCACCGCTCCACCCGGCACGCCGATCGCCTGGGCACCGCTCACCTTGGCATCCTTGGACACGATGAGACCGGCACCGGCAACGCCAGCGCAGGGGTGATTGGAAGCCCCTCCTAAGGTCTCCCAGGGGTGATTTGAAATACAGTTCATTTGCGGAGTGGTGTAAATTTGGGTTAGCTTTGTGGGCAGGGACCGGATCGAATCCGCAATCACCAGGAGCAGGAAAGAGGTAGGAATTATGGCAGATGTTTGATGAACTTCATGTTGCATAGCAGTCAGTAAATGCCAATGTGTAAAGAACTGGCATCATTCTGATAAAACCGGTAAACCTTGTTAGTCAAGGACTTGTTAAAACAGTAATAGTCAAGAACAATTAGTCACCCCGGTTGTGGTTTATCGTTTAAATATAGGTTCCATATTTCGGTACAGTTGAGTATACTTAGTGTTGCAATGGCAGGCTCCAAAAAGTCTTTCTATCCCGGTCTGAATCCAAGGGTTTCGGTTAGGTTAATATGATTGACAGGTGCAAAGAATCCTTAAAGTTGTGGCAATTGAATGTTCAAACCAGGTGAAAGGGAGCAACAAAACAGGACCATCCATGGCTGGAGACTCACCTTCCTACCTCGCAGGCCATCTATGTCTATCAAACAATGATGCAACTACCTTTCTCAGAAGTTTTTGACTGATCCTTCAGTCATCCATCCATCATCCACCTCACGCTGACCTCACACCTGTTGAGAAAAATGGACCAATCCATCCCGTGCTTCCACCCGCTTCCCCTGCGTCCACCCTCTGCATCACCGTGGTCTGCCCAGCCGGCGCGTCCACCCCCCAGTTGGAAACGCCGAAGACTCCAGCTGCTTCAGTTTCTCGTCGATGCGGTGCATGGCCTCCACCTGCGAACCAGGCAGCGGAGGGCAGCGGGCCAGGCGATGTGGGGCGAGCTATAGCCGGGGGACTGGGTGATCTGGTGGTCCACAAATCGAGTTCATTCGATGTCAAAAGAGTCAAAAGCATGTTTTGGATGTTGTTTGCATGTTAACCATGGCACAAGGAAGTGACCCCCCTGGCCTGGGCCCGAGTGGATGTAGGCTGGTGAGTCAGGATGTAGGCTGGTGTGCGTCTCGCAGACCAATGTCGCAAACACGCATGTCCCATGGTGATTGGTCACGCTAATACATGCTAATTACCATATTATACGCGATGTATACTCCCAGAGTTGGTAGTAGTGGCACCACAAAATGTCCTGTCGACTCTTAGACATATCAATACAATATAATTATATATATATACCAGGGCCTTCAAAGGGTGGTTAATGGACACTCCTTAACGGCTAAGGGGCTATAAATAGACACCCCTTGGAGGGTCCTGGTATATACATATATATATATATATATCCAGGATCATCCAGGGCTCCACTTTGCAACCATCAAACTGGGCCCTTCATCCACTGGATTTGGTGCCATCTCTCCATCCACGTGCGTCAGGAACTTGTTGCGGTCTCCGTGCGACGCGGTCTCCGGTCTCTACGGTCTCTCCGTGGAACACGTCACAATGGTTAAGGTGGATGGCATGGAACTCCATGGCGAAAACCACTTCCATGTTGGTGAGTCAGAGTGATTTCGTTGTTTTTTGCACTATTTGGGGATTTGGCAGGATTGATTTCACCAGAAGTTCCTGGGTATGCTGCGATACCCTGTGCAAATATTTTCATGGGCATGTTCTGTCATGTTCTATCTGCAGTTCCAATAAGTCTTAATTGACACCTTCCACTCCCCAAAACAATCAATCATGGCTTCCATGATTTTATCTAATGGCAAAAGCAGGGAAAAAAAATCCGCGCGGCAAAACACACACACACACACAACAAAACCCTACAAAACCCCAAAACAACACCGTACCACTCCGTCCCACTCGCCACGTTTTTGTTGGGTCCTGAAGCCTCCTCCGCCCATGGCTCCTCCGCTCCGCTTTGTTGGCCTGCTGCGGTGCTCGGTACTTCACCTCCACGATGCCCGGCGGCTCGAGGATGCCGCCGCGGGCCTCGAGGTCCGCGTACCTGGGCGCGACGGGTTGGTCGACCGAGGGACCGTGCACGAGGAGGATCCCTTAAGAGAGTTCCGTGGGGAGAGCACGTGTTTATTTTGCAAAAGAACAAGTTGGAGGCATGAAGAAAAACATACTGTAACCGGTCTGATGAGTCTGGCTCAGCATCCCATGGGAGTGGAAATGGATGGAAGAGATTGGAAGAGTTACATTTAAGTCACTTGGTTTCATGAATGGATCCAATGTACCAGGATCATCCTGTCTGGGTGTCCTGGCGTTCGACTACCCTACCCTACGTAAACAGGTCTCCAGGCAGGGCAGTAAGGAAGTGCTACCAAGAGAGGTTGAACAGCCTTATAGCCCGGTAGTCTAGCCAGTACACCCAAACAGGATGATCCTGGAAGATTTACAATGCCATGATTCATGATTATGAGACCATGAACATATAGTTGACTATTCCATGCATGGATGAACTGACTGAGGGCATTGTAGGATTAAAGATTTCGATTGTGGAGCATTTAAACTAAACGATCAACAACGATCGTATCTCTCCTGCAATTTCTCCCTTTCGCTTTGGCCTTCTGGATTGTCTTCTCTTGGTGTTTCCTATTCCGTGCCCTTCCTGGGATCAATCTTTCGACACTCAACTGGGACTCCTGTGACTGTGGATTTCTATGAGCGAGCATAGCAACTTCTTGCCGTGTTCGGTCTGAAGATTCCGTAGAAGAGCCGCGCCACATCACCAGGTGGAAAATCCCAATACCAAACGAGAGCGGCCTACAGCCTCTCCATACCTCTCCTGCCTTTTCGGCATGGGGCATCAAGCTCGTGCCAGGAAAACACCGGTCAAGCTCGTCCCAGTCCGTACCGTCGGTAGCTGTGAACAAAATGGGTTTGTATTAAAATTGGGATAAGAAACGAACAAAAGGACACAAGGTACACTCTGACCCACCTAACATGGAAGTGGAAAAATCGGTGCCGGGAAGACCATCTTGTTCTCCAAACAGGTGTTTTTCTCACGTCCATGTGAATTGGAATGAACTTTAGGAAGCAACACGCCGATCCCCACAGATGGCAGGTGAGGTCGAACAGAAACAGACCTCTCTTCAGCGCCACATCGGCGCCGCCCTGCTCCGTCGCGCGAACGACCATGCGACCCGAGCCGCCGGCTGCGGCGCATGGTTTCGGGACGCGGGGCCACCGCGGACGCGCGCAATCGGCCCGAGGGGCATTTCCATCTTCTCTGGATTGATCGCAGGGTCGATGACCTGATCGATGAGACGTCGATGCGACATGCGGAAGGGTGCTCTCGATTGGAGGTCGGTGCGAAACAACTCCTGAATCTTCGGCCACCAATGGCGCGGAAGAGGGTCCTAACTGGGGAGGCCTTGAAGGCCCAATTCTATTGGAGGCGAAGTGTCTTGTCCAGTGTCTTTCCCCTGTAAATTCACCAAATTGAGGCTTCATGGGAAACCAACGAGTCCACAACCACGGGAACTACGATGTTTCGAGCTTTTGACTTCAAAACATACATTAAGTTTAATGAATCCAAACCCTTAAGTTGTGCTTCAATTCTGTTTTCATCCTACCAGTGGCATCCAATTGGTAGGCACAGCTTGGATTGGCATGCGGAGAAGTCTCGTCTCGAAGAGTCCAGTTAGCAAAACCCAAAGCAGCTTGACGATTCTTCTCTGACGTTTCATCCAGGGCCCTATCTTCATAGTTTCGACATGTCTTGACTCTATAACCCAATAACCCCCGAAAACACGATGTTTCTACGTCTCCGGGTTTTAGTTAGCAACAGCCAACATCATGGGTGTCAGCAACAAACAATTGAAAGAAAACATTGCAATGGCGAAACACCTGCGACTAGCGAACTAGAACTGACACAAATACAAAATTCAATTTAGCCAAACTTCCAAGTGGGCAAAGCAGTGCGAGTTCGGTTTCAACTGATTCGACCCCTCAATTCCGAATACGCTCCATGGAACTGACAACTCCCAGTCTGTAGAGGAAAATGATTTTCCCAGGACCCGTGCCATCCACTTTCATGATTGTTGCAGGGAGGGTAATTTGCTCATTTTGGGGTGAACAATGCAGTGGATCTAGTTACCTCCTCGTAGCTGGCAACGTTCCAAACGCGGCATATCCACAAACGTGATGTTCAATGACCGGTAAATGATCATGTGAAGGACATGGTGTCGACAAACTCGTCAGACCAATCCCCATATGATATAATATATAATATACAAGTGTTCGAAGGATGTAGTCATGCCTTCGCTGTATCATGCTGCATCTCAAATACCTCAAAAGATTGGAGCAAATCTGAAACAGTCGCCGGTTATATAATGTTAACCTCCATATGAGCTGCGGCCATCGAAACCCAATGTCTGACGTGGGCCCAACTCTGCGGAGCTTGCCACAGTGCCCCACTGAGTGACCCGGGCCACCCACGCGCCGCCACGGAGCTCGCCGTGCTTGGGGATGTAGATAAAGATGGGGTGTTTGTACCTCTCATGGCTGTTCATGTCGGTGAAGGTCTCAAAACAAACAGGATGTCAAGCACAAGGTGTTCGTTCAGAACAGTTTCAGCCGCTTCGTCTCTCCAAACATCCTTCCAAAACATCCAAGCGAGGCGACAGAGCAATACACGACATGGCACAAAGTTTCCTCAGGACTCAGGACCTTCTTTGCCAGGAGTTCCCACAGTAGGGTGCAATGCTGGCGGCCACTCTGGCGCAGTGGTTGCGCTGGTCGCGCGATTATGCTGGTTACGGTGGTTGCGCTGGTTACGCTGGTCACACTGGGTGGGCTGATTACGCTGGCTGAGCTGACTACGCTGTTTACGCTGGCTGAGCTGACTACACTGTTTACGCTGGTTACGCTGGGCAGGCTCATTATGCTGTTTACGCTGGCTGCGCTGGTTAGGCTGGTTCACTGGTAGTGCTGGTTACGCCGGCGTCAACAGTCCGGCTCCGGTGGATTCTTCATCACAAACTGAATGTTGCTGAGTTTCATCTTCCCATGTGGGTGACTTCATCATTACAGCATTTGAAGTACCGCTTCCTAAGTGTTCGCTTCAATGTTGTAGGTAAAGTACTAGAGCTATCAAAAGCTTAGGGAAGCTACAAGGAATGAAGTATAACTATTCCAAACTAAGAAAAACTTAGCTATTCCAAACCCAAAGTCTTTATCTTTCCAAGGGGTTGTTGGCTTGCATTCACCCAAGTGGTATTCAAGCCACTTTCAGGGTAGTGTGGTGCAAAAGCTCCTCTACCAATTGTCATGCCATACCCCTAGCTCAACAGAAGGCCTGGAGCAAGCTACCCAAGTTCCCTTTGGCCTCCACTGACCGTGCCATGGTTGTCTCAGTGTTTCATGAACACAGGCCTACTATGAAGTGAAGTTCCAAAAGAAAAGAAGTAAAGACTTGGTAGAAGTATAGCTGTTTGTTTGTTCACTGGTGTGGTGTGGTCTTGGTCTTGTGAAGTGTGGGTTCTAAGCCTTAAAGCTTTCAAAGTTTCAAAGTGATATTAGTTAGTTTGTTTGTGGTTGGTTGGTTGCTGGCTTGCTTGTAAGTTCGATTGGTTGGGTGGTTGGGTGTTTTGTTTTTTGGTTGGTTACAGTCAGTGACAGTCACCTGGCTGCCCAGGTGCCCACCTATTAAACACCATAATTGGACAACTCAACTAAGTGCCAGCCTGTGTGCCTGAAAGCCTTTGATTGAATTGTGTTTAAACAAAGGATGTGTAAAAATATCCCCCGTGATTGTTCATAGGGGCGTCAATTTTTCATTTTATGAGCTCTGGGGGGTTATAAAAAGTGTGGGATAGGTTCTTGGGTTTATTAAAAACAAGCTAGTTTATAAAATGACCAGTACAGGTTATGATAGGTTAAGATAGAAATCGACGTCCAGGAAAACAATTTATGAAATGCGAATTGCGAATCGGAAATGTCCGTAAGATGCCAAATCCGTAGCTTTTGTAAAATGAACATTCGTATGTCAAGATCTCAAGATGCCAAATAACTAACAATTAACAATTAACTAGCTACTTTTTCTGCACTTTTTCTCTCCCCCTGTCTCTGTGTCTATTCCCTCCACGGCGAACCGCGGGGAACCAACCGGTGCGCATCTTCGGCGTGAACGGGTCCTTCGCTCGGGTCTCCCTGTGTTACATTGGACTTGCGGGTTCCAGAGGGGTTTGAGAGTTTATAAAATGATGATTCCGGACCAACCGGTTGGAATATTTTGTTTTTGGAATCCATTTTATAAACATCAGCTTTGTTTTTTGTAATCACATGTAGTCACTAATTCTTGGAGTACAGTCTTTTTTGAAATTTTGTGTGTTTTGCGAGGGGTAGCTGCACAGGCGACTGCTTCTGAGCAGGTTGCCAAGGATGATGCAGGTTGCGTCTTCATAGTTGGTGTTTCCTTGAGGGTTCCACAGGGTTCCAGAGTTTATAAAATGAGAGTTCCTGACCATCCGGTTGGGATATTTGTTTTTGCACATGGAACTCATTTTATAAACATCAGCTTCGTTTTTCGTAATCAGTAGTTCTGGGACTTTGTGGCTGTCAATCCACTAGCTGATGGACAAGGTTAATTTAAAAAACATTGCGTGGAAGCTGCGCAGGCGACTGCCGCTGAGCAGGTTCGCAAGGATGATGCAGGAGACTTGCGTCTTCGTAGGTTTTTCCTTGGCGGTTCCACAGGGGTTCCAGAGTTTATTGAATGAGGATTCCTGACCAACCGGTTGGGATATGAAACTTGCTTGTTGTGTCTCACTGATAAGTAGATGTATGTTTCACAGTGGGTTCAGATTCGGCCGTGGATTTTTCAAAATCTGAAATTTCAGAATCTGAAAACCCAGAATCTGAATCATTACTAAAGAGGAAATGATTCAGAATCTTAAAATCTTAATCTGTATTAGCTGATGTACTTTGCATAGCCCTGTAAGAAACACAACATATTATCAATAAATACATCTTGATTAGTATGTACGGTTTGTATTGTTGATATATTGTTTTTGTTATATGTACATAACATTGGCTGTCGGTTTATAAAATTAGCTTGTTATGCTTTAATGCAAATAAATGACCCTGAACAGTGTTCTTTCAATTTATAGACTTTGTTTTGCTTCTGTTTGGATAGCTCTTGAGATCAGATCTGTTGTTTTGGGGAACCCTTTTTTTTAACCCCCCAACCTCTTTTTTTTAACCTCCACCCTTTTTTT